AAACAACATCCTGACTTTCACATTACCTACCCACGAGCAAGGAAATGAGAAAAGCCTTCCTCACCGAGGGGACAGACTTCACCAACTGCTTTATTTAATGCCCAACCCCGGACGGGGGAACCTCCTCAGCGAGTCAGCGACGCAGGGCAAGCATGAAAATCGCTTTTGCAAGCGTTTACTCAGCGTTTGCACGGAGGATGCTGAGCCTTTTCTCGACGAACCGCGCACAATTAAAGGGCTGGTGGGGGGACCCTGAGGGGGGGGGCAGAACCCCCCCAGCCCTCCAGGCAGCGCCCCAGAGCAAGCCTGGCTGGGGGGAAGGAGACGGGACGGAGTGAGGCAGGAAAGTGGACGGAGGGGGAATATCCCCCCTCTGCCTTCCCCATCCCCCCGGCCCCTTCCCTTTCTCCTCCTCGAGCCCTTTCTCCCTGCTCCCCCGCTCGTCCCTGTGCTCTGCCTCCTCCTCTCCGTCCCCGCGACTGCCCGCGGTGTCGCCCGGGCCGTGGGCTGGCCCGGCGCACTCACCTGTCCCTGTGCTCCCCTCAGCTGTTTACCACTCCGGGCTCCCTCGGCCCACAGGGCGCCGCCATCTTGGCCCTGCCTCCCCCTCCCACCGCGGCGCTTCGCCCCTCGGATCCCTCCGCCGCCAAACCTAGTTCCGCCTCACCGCCTCACTCCCCCGCTGGCCGCCCGCCTTCTCCCCCCGTCCTTCCCCGCCCCGCGCGTCCCTCCCGCCTCACGGGGGTCTCCCCGCCGCGGTGCGGGGGTGAACGGGGGTGGGGGGGGGGGCAGCCTGCGGGCGGGTGTCCCGCGGCGGAGGGATCTCGGCGGGGTGGGGGGGAGCGGTTCGGCCCGGCGGAGGTCGCGTGATGTGGAGGGGGCGGGGCCGCGCGGGCGGTAAACAAGGCCCGGCCTGAGGGGACGGGGCCGGTCGGGGGCACAACCCAGCCCGAGCTCCCCATTGCTCGGGGTTCTGCCCGAAAGTGCCCTGTACAGTGCAATAAATGTCTGCAAAGGCGACAAAAAGGCCTCAGGAATCCCGCTGTGTGTGCGGAGCGATGCTGACGGGACAGGGCGCTGCGAGTTCCACCCAGAACCCCCCCTCTCACCCCGGGCGCGCACCCCAAATATAATTGATTTTATTCACTGAACGTTCAGAGCTTGTTTCATTCACCCTTCTTTTGTGGGGGGGGACTTCGTCATCCAAACCACGCGCCGGAATTCTTTCTTTTAATTTTCTCCTTCCTAAAACGTTAGCAACCACGCCACGCAAAACGTTCCACCCTTTCTTTCGATAGGGGTTAATTTTTCCCCTGTGGAAAACGCAGAGTAAGGAAAGAAGAATGGAAATTACCGCAGGGAAGGTCCTGCAGCCTTCGGGTTTGTGTGCAACAGGTTCCCAGTTCCACATTTCAATCCCGGCACCGGTGGGATCCCTGCGTTTTTCATTCCCCGAGAAGGAGCAGCTCAGTGGGGGAGAAGTGCTGCAAATCTGACTCTTGAGTCCATATGAATTGGCCCCAGATGCCAGCAGGAATCACAGGCATCAAAGTTGCAAGGTGAAAGCTAGGTGTAAGGAAAAGGGGGGGGGGAAAAAGGCAGATTAGAGCCCCATCCGCTGATTTTTAACTCGCAGCAGCAGCAGTTTGTGTTTCCCAGCTCTCATCCCTGCAGGGCTGAGATAGCTCCTTCCCACTGCACCTGCGATGGGTCATCCTGCCTCGGGATGAGATAGAGTTCCTTGGAGCCAGCATATTTTTAATCCAGTCCTGCCTGGTGCATGGTAATTAATATTTATTACAGCCTGGACTGAGTGATGGTATTTTTTTCCCTGCTGTGCAGGAGACATGTTTGTTTAATCTGCCACAGGAAAGGGTGGAAATTAGGATGAGCTTCAGAAAAGAACTGGAAGCAATTAGTTGTGTATTTTACTGGGATTTAATTGTTGTAACGTTCAAATTGATGAAGAAAGCCTGGATGCTGTAGCAGGGGTTTGCTGCTGGATTTGAAAGGAAAAGTGACTGCATTAGAATGGATGTGATGTGTTGTAATTAAACTGTTTATTCTTACTGAGCTATAGATTTAAAAATCTATTTCATTAAGATGCACAGGAGCATAGGAGATGTAGTAAGAGCTCACAGCAATGCACAAAATTAAACTGCCCTTGTGTGCAAGCACAACTCTGTACATCCACCATGGCTCGTGTGGGTCAGGGCCAGGACAAGTCTCTGGGAGCCCAGATAAGCCCTCTGCGGCTCTCCCTTCTCTGCTGATCCTGAAATAAGAAGAGACAACAGGGAAAGTGATATAAACAGGAAGAGCATAAAATAAGAATGGCCACACGGGGTCAGCTCTAAGGTTCTTCCAGCTCCAAATGCACCTCCAGCGCTCTGGGTTTATAATTCAAGCCTGTGTAAATCACCTTTCAATGATTATTTCAGTGGAGAGGTGAGAGCAAGAACACAACAAGCCAAGGTGATGGGACTGCAGTCCCATCCTTCATAGGAACTCCTGAAATAAAATAAAAGGAGAAGGAGTGGGTAGGAGCTGAAGCAGAGCCAGCAGTGTCCCCATCTCCCTTCAGGCATTCCAGTGATAACAGTCAGAAATGTCTGTGCAGTCTGTGCACATTATCTCAGGGGTCAGTTTGTCTGCAATTACATCTGGACTGTGTGAGCTGGTGGCTACTTGGGGATGCAGAACAGCTGATACAGATGTTACTGCCACTGGAGATGGAGTCATCCTTCTTTTCCACAGGACTGTGCCCAATGCTCTCTGGAAAACAGCTGGTTGGGGAGGTTTTGTTAAACATAATATCATGGAATGGGCTGGATTGGAAAGGACCTTAAGGATTTTGACACAACTGCTTTTCTAGAGGGTGTTTTTTGTGTGGTTGACTTGCTTTTACTGTCTCCACTTTTAGGGCCACATTCTGTAGCCATTTGCACTTGCTATCGAGGGGAAGTCTGTGCTCAGGGGTGCTGGCAGGAGCAGGCTCCGATGTTTCATAAAATAACATCTCGGCCCTTTCAGCAGCTTGTCATTTTCCTGTTTTGTTTAATTCCTGTAACTGTCTTCATAAGGAACCGTGAAGCTGCAATGTACAATTTGGGTTTCTGTTACAATGGCTTGTTTTTGTAGCGGGAAATGTAATCCCTCAAATGCCTGTGTTTAAGAGGATGCAAATCAGCTCGCGAGCACAATGCCTTGGGAACGTTTCTTTCATGCAAAACCCGGCTGGATAAATAAGGAGGGGAGGAGGGAGAGGGGAAGGGGATTGTTCTCTTCTATAAACAACGAGACCTAATTATGCTCGGTAAATGACAGATGGGTTAAGATCAAAATCTGAATCTTTCTCAACGCGGGTGAAATCCACGCTCCTATCTCGGAGTTGCATCAAACCCCGTTGCACAGCCTTGTCCGGTGCCATGGGGCAATGACACAGCTGGCACTCAGGGCTGTCCCGGCACAGGGTGGTGGGGACAGCGGGCAAAATCCCTCTGCTGTGTCCCCCTCGAGTGTCTCTGCTCCGTCAGGGAAACACCAGCCTCCCGGCGGAGGGGCAGAACAAAAGGTGTCGCTTCCTGGCGTTCACCCCTCTGAGCTGCAGCAGGAAAAGGGACCCAACGGAGTCCCGGGTTAACGCAACCAACTGTAGGAAGCAGCGGAACGCGTTTGACAGCTCACAGGGAGCAGGGAAACTCATCTCTAAAGGCATTTTCCTGCTGCTGATGTCCCGGTACTCGGCACCCAACGGCTGCAGGTGCACTTACATACCTTTGGAATGATAAACTTCGTGGAAGGCACCTTTGCACTCCACGCACGGAGACAGCTGTGAGGGCAGGGAGGGCACACCCAGCTCATGCCACTGTGCACCTGCACGGGCAGGAAGGTTGGGATAACTAGAGAAGAGGTGAAATCAAGGAATTACTCCCCTCCCCTCTGCTCGTTTGGGGAGATCAGCTCTCCTTGTTTGTCCACAAAAAGGAATCATGCTTGAGGATTCTGAAGGAAAATCTGTGTTCCCAGCGCCTGTGCAAAAGAACAACCTGGGAACAGTCCCCCTGCCCCTGCTCCATCCTCCCTCCTTCCACCTGCCATTACAGGGGGCTTTGGCACTCAACTATCTCCCATTTTCAAAGCCATTCTCAAACCTTTTTTGAAAAGCAAGTGATAGAAGTGCAAATTTTTATTATTGCTCTTGAAGAGCTTTTTGCAAAGCTGTTGTTAATGAGCTTGCTTAATGAGCTTTCTTAAATCTATATTTATACCCTTTATACAGCTGTACATAGATAGAGCAACGCCTAAAATATGTGTGGATTGCACACACATATGCCTTGGAAAATGAAGGCTGATTAACACGCATCTTCTTTGGTTGTACCGTGCAAGTATTTATTCCTTTTTCCTTGGAAATTGGAGAGATAAAAGATCCATTCTGGAATAAAATAATTCTGTGCATATGTGCTCGATGGTTTTGTTTATGAGCCCGAAGTATGTGAGTGAGTGTGTGTGTGTGTGTGAGACAGATGGTGTGGCTGTTTGTGAAAGATATGATGTGGGGATGAATGTGTGTAAAAATACAGGGGTTTAAGGGCTTTTTTTTTTTTTTTAAAGAAAAGACAAAATAAATGCCTGCTTGGGGCATTATTTCCCTGTGTCATGCTCTTTGTCAATATGACAGAGGAGTATCCCTGCAGAAGGAGAAGCTGCCCCTGGAAGTGAAGGGTGCTGCCCCCAGGGCTCCGAGCTGGGCATCGTGAATTCTCTTCAAGTTTTCAAAGTCCTGGAAAGTTTTGATAAGCAAATACTTTCTGGGCTCTGCTTCTCCATTGGCTGTTTCTTCACCGCCAGATTTTGACACAAATAATCTGATTGAAAAATCAGGGAGGGGAACAGGGGCAAAAAAAAAAAAATAAAAAAAAACAAAACCAAGAGAGGAAAAAAAAAAAAAAGGAGAAGTATCTATTTCAGCAGACTGCGAGCAAGAGAAAAAGTGGAAGAGGAGTCCTGAGAGAAGGCGACGTCCCGCTGGTCTGGGGAGATTTCAAGGCGAATCCAGTAAAGCAAAGTCCCCCAAACAGGTGATTGATTTATTCTTTTAACCACTTTTATTTTTATTGTTTTCCTCATTTCTCTGATATGTTTTTTTTTCCTAAGCTTTTTTTCCTTCTTCTTTGCTTTTGTTTGCAAATATGTGACATATTCCACGGAGTAAGTTGCTTCTCCTGAGGATTCCTTTATGGGATTAGTTCACTTGACTCGTTTGAATTCCACCTTTTAAAATTATATACCATATAAACCTTTTAAAATTATATACCATATACTTCACTCTCACATGTGACAATGTGCTCACATGTGAGTAGAACAAAATACAAGGGATGTGACAGTGGTCTCAGATACCTGTGTCCCAGCAAGCTCCATCAGCAGGATTAGTTTCTGGGTGCAGACTTTTGTACTTTGCCACTGAGGAAGGGGCAAACTGTGTTTTTCCTTTTAATTGCTCTTTTGCAGGGTCAGACCTTTAAATTCAGAGAGCAGGACACCTCTGCTCACATCACCTGTGCCAGGCTTTCCTGATGACAGTTCAGCCTCTCCTGTTCAGAATTTTTGCTTCAAATCTCCCTTTTATTAATTTTCCATCCTTTTTAAGTAGAGGCTGATCAGTGTAACAATTTTTAGCATATGGAATTAGCTATTTATAGGCGCTTCTCACATACCACCAGATTGATTCAATACATTAGGCAGGAAAGCAAATGATTTGCAAGTTCATTAAGTGCATCTATACATTAAGGGGGTATAGAATTTATTAGATTGCACTGTATAGCTTTATCTATCCATGGCAAAGTTTCCTAAAGCCAGTGGCATTCCCAACATCACCAGGAGCTGTGTGGGGTTTCTAAAGAACAAATGCTGCAATTATAGTCTAAACATTTTTTCCAGGTACTACAGATATTCCAGCATTTCTGTTCCCCTTCTGGGACAAAATTCCCACCGTAATTTGCTACCCCTGCCATAATGTCCATTTGCCCAGTCTGACCACAGGGATTAAAAATGACCTGTTCATTTTTCCACTAAAAAAGACACATTCAAATGACTCGCCCCAAGTACATTGCAATGATGGACTAAATATGATTAATTTTGTAAAAAACTGAAATCCTTTCAAATTTGACTTTATATTTAAAGAGTCAGGAGTCCTTAAAACCTCTCTCTCTTTTTTTTTTTTTTTTTAATTTTCTTATTTTATTTGATTTGGACTCTTAAAAATTTCAGATACCTCCTGTTTTGGTTTGTGCTTTTTTTCTTCTTCAAAAAATAGTCTTTTTAAAGACAAGCTGTTCTGTATTTTTGGAAACTTCACCTTTGTGAGAGAGAACAGAAAAAGAAGCAATATTGAGATATAAATATAAATTAAGTAATGAAAAGGAAATAAGTCTCTTTTAGCCTAAAACTTTGTACACTCATCAACTTATATGAAGATATATATCAATTGTTAGTTAAAATTAAGTGTTTCTGCTGAGTGTAGCGAGAAAAAGTGTTTAATCTCTACAAATACCTCATAAATCTGAAAATGGAATTACTTGAATTTAGGGAAAAATGCAAGTCAGCTTTAGAATGAAAGTTTTGCTGCATGTTGAGTCCCTGATTCAGTGTGGCACAATCCTGCAAACACCTGTCCCCGCTGAAGGCTCCACAATCTAATTCAGTGAGAATATTAATTTCTTCTCAGTGATATCAAAGGACTCAGTCCCGTGGGTTTAGGTGCTGTGAGCTGCCGTGTAATGAAGTGGGAGATGGAGCTTCATTGAGGGACCCAGTGAAATTCGGATCCTGGAGTCAGAAACCACCCCCTAAATTAAGAACCAAACCCTTTTCATTTGGTTCTTTCCCCAGTGTTTCAGTATCACATTAGAGATTTACGTGGGACACTCGGCAAAATCACCAGAGAGCATCGCTGAGGGTGAGGGAATTTGGAGTTTGAACTCTGGGGGGACACACAAATGCTGGGTGTGCTTTCAGATCTGACTGAGAAATTTATAACTGCGAAAAGAAACCTTTCTAAGGCGCTACAGGTGAGGTTCCCAAAATAGTGAAGCAGTTTTTTTTTCCCTTGGGTCCTGCTGTCCTTTCCTCAGGACACGTTCTAACATTATTATACAGCTGCATGAATGGCAAGCAAATAAGAATGTCAGCTGTAGCTGACTACTGGCTTTATATCCTGTAGTGAATTTTAAAAACCAGCCAGGACTGTTCCATTTTGGTTGGGAGCATCTGCCCAAGCAATGATTTCTCTTGTGCCCTTACCACTCCACGTAGAAACTGGTGCCACAGGGGCTGAAAGGAACAGACTCCATAATAATAAAGTTTAATTTTCAGCAAAAGGCTGAAGCCAAATTCTGTTGGAAGCTTCAGTGACTCTGAGACATGGTGGGATCTGTTGTCCATAATACTGCTTTCCCTGGGAAATACAGTTGGCCATTAGGAGCAGGTGATCACTTGCTACTGATAATCTGGAGTTTCAAGGGAAGACAGTGCTTTTTCCTCTCACAGTCTCTGCCTTTAGCTTTTCTCTAACCTGGTTGTGTGCATCACAAAGACAGTGCAGTGCAGTTGTTAATTAACTCTGCTTTGGGCTCCCAGTTCCTGTTTTTTTCTCTAAAATGGGGTGGGGGAAGGTAACTTCCTTCTGCAACGTTCAGTCCATTAAAGATCAGCACAGGCCCTTCTCAGAGGTCACAATACTGGACCAAAGTCGACTTTTCCATATGCTGGGGCAAACACATCCAGAAAAATCCTGTTGATTCATGTGCCTCTACTTCCAACCACCACCAGGAAAGCAGGGCTGTGCTTGGTGCCATCGTGGACTTGACGTGTGGGCACTGCCATAACACACTGCAATGCTTGAGCCACCCACCTCCAACCCTCTGATTTACCTGGCTAAGCTGTCCAGCTACTGCCAGAGGATTCTCTAGCTGGAGACAGGGAGAGTGACTCTTCCAGCAGCGCTGCTGGATGCAGGGTGTCCCCTACATTCAGAGTTACCCATTTCCAGAGCCTCTTCCTCCACCGTGTCAGGAAGCCCAGAGAAATTACCTGGTTAATTCAGGCAGAGAAACCCAATGTCTAAAGCTTTCTGGTATGAATACCCTCCATTGTGGACACAGTCCTGCCCCACCACATGGGAAAATCCCTCTGACATGAGTGGAAACTCCATGGATAAAGGGTTTGTGGCAGGATTTCAGCTTTGGGCACTGTAATGTCTGTAATGCAGAGTGTGGCTCCATGCACAGGTACCTCACCTGGGACTGATCCTCTGAGCTCAGCTCTGCTCTGGAATGTGAGTGGCACAAGCTAAGCAGAGCTGCTGAAGGGTTTTACCCACTGCAGGACACTCCTGGAGCTGTTTCTGTGCTTTTCACTGGGCAGAGGCTCTTTACAACACTTAGAATGAATCTCAATAGAGAGAGAAAAATTGTGCTTCACTGTCCCTTCTCTCAAGGGTCTACTTGTGGTTCTTTCTCAATACTGTTTTGTCCTCTTTCTGAAATTACATTAACAAATCTACTCTTGGCCTCTCTTTTCTCTTATTCATCTCAAGTTACATGTAAATTTCTTGGAAAATGATGAAGAAAAACAGGTGAGTCATTTTGGAAATAAAAATGGCTGGAGACACCAAGAGTTACCCTGAAATCATAGAAGAAACAGTGGGAATCCTGGACCAGATTTAAAAAGACAGCTCTAACTGCATATCCAAAGGCAGGTGGGTTGGTGGGCACCCTGGCAATCCCCCTGTCCACAGGAGACCTCATTGTGGGAATCCCACAGCACATGGACCTGCAGCTTTAGGCACCACTGCAAATGTGGCCCTCAGACCTTTAAACAAAACACCACTGGGCTGTGTGATTATATTTAGCATGAAGAGGTAGTGCAAGTACTTCTGAACCCTAGGGAGCAGACCTTTCCATCCCTGGCTGTTTGGGATTCCAGAAGTCACGCTGCTGTATCCTGACTTAGACATTCCATGTCATTCCTACATAACAGGAGCAACCTTTGTAGATTTTTGAGGTTTTTCTTTTGTAATTAAGTTACACTGAACTGCTTTCAGGAAAGAGCAAAACTCAGTAACACAGTTTCCAGTCAACAGTGAGCCAGGACTCACTGCTGACTTTTCATATGAAATATGGCAAGATTTGTTTTCAGTGTCACTATCCCGAACAATTACAAGGGAAAATGCAAATCCACATGCAAATAAGGCACCAGCTGATATTGCTGCACACAACATTGCCCCTGTTGTCACTCTGCCTCCAGGAGAGCAGTTACCAGGCCCGTGGAGCGGGCACAGGGCGGGCTGGGTTCTGGATAGCACAGATAACAGATGCATTGCAAGAGAATTTTGTGTGATTAAATTTCAGCATTTTATGTTTGTTCCTCACCCGCCATTTCAACGGTCTGCAATGTTTGAGTCAGGTCCAAAAGGTAACTTCTCACCCAGCCCTTCTGCTCTGCCTCTGTTCCCCTGTTGTTTGTCAGCCAGAGCACAAACCAGTCCAGCTACTCAACAAGGAGACCCCCCCACATGCATCATGGATTTTCTGCTGTCTCTCTCCTATTATTGGTGTTGTTTCTATAATTAGTGTTTCTGTAGCAATTTCACAGAAGAGCCCAGGTCAGGGGCTCTTCCAGGTGCAGGACAAACACTCAGACAGACCCTTTCTCCAAGGGGGATCTCCAGCCCGTGGTCCCCACTCAGGGAGGGTGAGGTCAGAGATGCACCATGTCCTGTAGCCAGAACAGGGAGCTACAAGAGAGAGATCCTGCCTTCCAGTGTGTCTGCCACAGGCACTTTTGGTCTGTACACAGCCCTCAATTTAAGCCTGTCTCTGTTTCTCCACATACAACATCAAGATTGCTGTAATCCTTTGCCTTGACCTGGGGTAGATGGTGAAGTGTAATTTTTACAGTGTCAGAGACCACCTTGCAGTAAGTTTTTCATTTAGCCCTTTCCACAACTCTGTGTTTTCCTCAGAGCTGAGATCCATCACACACCCAAACCCATGCAACCCCTCCCTGCTCCTCAGCTGGCTGGAGGGACCTTTGAGGTGATCTCATCTCCCCACTACAAGTTTTAATTCACTGCTGCTCACATAGCTGAGGGCTGGGGGGACAAATGGGAAACTAATCCCTAAACCACAGAGATTTACCTGCTGTTTTTCTGTGTTTCTGCCCAGAAAGTGAATGGAAAATGCCACGTTCCTTTTTGGTGAAGAGCAAAAAGGCTCATACCTACCACCAACACCGCTTTGTGGAAGATGACCTGCCTGCACTCACGTGGGGCCCAGTAAGCTCTGCCTTCACTGGTGAGTCAGTCCATCCACTGGGCTTGTAAGAAAACACCAAGGCAAATCAATCATTGAGTAGGCAAGTAAAGGAGTGGGGTGAGTGAGCTAAAGAGCATCAAAGGGCTTCTACAGGGGCACGTCAGTCTAAGGACAAACTGATCCCTTCCTGCGTGTCCGCTCTCTACGCCAAATCCACAAATCCAAATTTAGATCCTCCCTTTGTTCCCTGCTCGGTTGCTGGGGAGATTTGAGATATCAGATTGCTGAGTGGAGTTGGTCACATTTGGGATAGAAGGCCAATTTCAGGCCACTAACAGCTGGGAAAAGAGCTTGCCCTTGGTTGTCAGTCTTCTACAAACTCTTCACAACTCTGCCACCTCCATCTCTAGCTTCCCATGTTTGCTGCCCACGTTCTCTCTGCACTACATCCTCTCTACCTCAGTGTGTTACCACCTCTTCCTGATGATTTGCAAGGAAGGCTACAGCCAGAGTGAGAAAATACTAGGGATACCCTAACACTGCCTGTGAGGAGTCCTACACACTCACAGGTGAAGGGCCAGCTGCTCTGTACTGTATGAACACCAACCAACACAGCTTCTGCCTCTGCCTGCTGCCCTCCCTCTGCTCCTGTTCCCGCTCTCCCACAGCCATCCCAACAGTGGCAGGGCTGGGGCAATTATCTTCTTCCTTCAGGCACCATTCAAATTTTCTATATTCAAATCTAGGATCAACTTACTCTTTGTTCTAGCCCTGGCTATCAAATTAGAGTCCAACCCTGTGATAAGTTTGATAAAAAGGAAAGGAGGTGACATTTTCATTTCAATTCCTGCCATCATCTTTTGACTATTTGTTGTGTCTGTCTAGTGGAGGGTTTTGATGACAGATAAATGCTGTCCTTCAGCCGACCTGCCCATCTCCAGCATAAAGGAGGCACATGTGTTGGACCCCTGTCCATTTTAAATTCTTACTGCAAAGTCTACGTTCTAAAAAGTGCTGGTTGGTCTCTTTAAGGGCTGGGACAAGCATGGAGAAATGGGAGTGTGGGCAGGAGAAGATGAGGCTCAGTAGTCTTTGCAACTGCATAAGCAGTTACCTCCCCTCTCTGCTTCCCTACTTGGCTGTCCATAAATCCAGGTTAACAATACCCAGCTCTCTTAGGAGAGGGGTGGGGAGGTTAATAAGTTAGTGATTGTTAGTTACCCACACAAATGGAAATGGTTTTAAATAGGGAAATGATTCTTACAGATATATGGCCTTCTAGTGTTAATCCGCTCTCACTGTAGAGGGTATCAAGTGTCCTGTCACCTCATCCTGCCCCCTCTCCCTTGCCAATCTCATCCTGCTTGGAATTTCCCTTTGCAGTGGAGAGACCTTGATTGCCCTGCTGATTGCAGCACTCTGCACTTATTCAGGGAATTGAGCACAGGCTCCTGTATCCAAGCACGAGTTCATACATGAGTGTAAAACTCACCTTAACAGACTCCTTGTAAGAGGAAGAACGACCTGTGACCCTACTCTGTGTTACAGCCACAGGAGACAGGACACCAGAGGATATCAAGAAACAGGACCTGGAATGTATGATTCCAAAACAAGAAAAGGACCCACCTGAACTGAAGGAAGAAAGTGTCCCTGTCCAGTACCTGAGCAGGATGCTGCCAGGCCCTTCAGCTCAAGGTCTGCTACCCAAAACCACAATTGCAAAAGAGGTTAGGGCTGGGCTGGCTTATGGACCCCCTAAAACTGGGCCCAGGTTTTCAGTAAATGGCAGCTCTCACCTTGACACCGATGGTCAAACTTGTCCCAGGCAGAGCTCATCGGGAGAATTCTGTATTTCCCTTTACAATTCTGCTCTAGATCAGCATCTCCCTGAAGGATGCTGCTGTGATTCCCAATGGGTGAACATCCCCATCTCAGTGCAGTTCTGTGCTCTGTGGTCAAGGCAGGTGTCCATATGTTGTTCAAACACCACATGAAGCAGGGCTAGTAGGGGGCTTAAAATTCCCTTAGCCATCACATTTCCATGGCATTCTTTGCCATAAATTTCCTCAGATTGCAATCAAAGTCACAATAGGAACTTTTCATGGGAAATCGGGATTTGAATTGAGGAGGAGGAGTTTCCAACTGGAACTCCCAAGATATTCAATGGATAAATGGGAGCTGGGGAACGTTTTTTGCTGATGCCCACCTTCAGGCAGTGGTGTGACACTCACTTCTCCCTTTCTTCTGCAAACTCAGAGGTGCCCATCCCAGCTCTGCAGATCAAGGACTGCACTAACACAACCACTCCTGCCTTCTACAAAACTGGCTTCTCTTGGGATGCTTTCCACGTGCCATACAGCTACCAACAGATGTCCTCCACCATGCAGTCAGCCCTGCTGGAGCACCCTGTTAGCCTGTATGGGAGCCACCTCCTGCCAAGCTCTGAGCCCCCCCTGGACTACAGCATGCACTATTCCTCAGACATGGAGACCTACCACTGCGTGAAGTGCAACAAGGTTTGTGTGTCACAGGAGAACCTCGGGGATGGGGAGGGCCTGGAGGGATTTTCACCGAATAGTGGGTCACACCAAAATGCAACACGTGGCTCAAAACAGGTCACCTACTCAGGAGAGCAAGTACAGAGGCGCTGGGAGTGATGCAGTTCACGTGGCCCAGGAGAGGGAAGAATCCAATAAAGAGAAGGAATTGAAAACAGAGGTGGAGACACAGCCACCTCATGCCAAAAATTATCCCTGGCATTTTGTTTTGCAGGTGTTCTCCACTCCCCATGGACTGGAGGTCCACGTCCGAAGGTCTCACAGTGGGACTCGGCCCTTTGCTTGTGAAGTGTGTGGCAAAACCTTTGGGCATGCTGTAAGCCTGGAGCAGCACACCAATATCCACTCCCAGGTGTGTAGGATGTGTCCAGAGAACCAGCTCTCCAGAGCTCATGAGGGCTTGGACCTTGGCTGTTGCTTAATCCATTACAGAGGAAGTGACATTTCCTCGGTTACAAACGTGGTGTCTTTCCTGTAGCACCCAGTGACAACACCAGGAGCTCTGAGGACCACAGATCATAGATCTTGGTCTCACAAATCTCAGACTGCCCTTGAGAATTCCTTGGATGGGAGGGGAGAATCATTGCTGCTTGTTCTTCTGTGCCTCACCTCCTCCTGGAGGGTGCAGGAGTTTGGATCACAAGACATAATCCATTTCCATAAGTAACCCTCCTGCATTCCCTTTGTACTGCTCCCAGCACATCAGTCCAGGAGCCAAGGAGATTTGCTTATCAAATCTACTATTCTCATCACTCTTCAAGCTCTGTCACATGTCTTGCAGCCTCAGACATCCCATGATTTTCCTTCCCCAACAGGAAAGAAGCTTTGAGTGCAAGATGTGTGGGAAGACATTCAAACGTTCCTCCACCCTCTCCACTCATCTGCTGATCCATTCGGACACACGGCCCTATCCCTGCCAGTACTGTGGCAAACGCTTCCACCAGAAGTCGGATATGAAGAAACACACTTACATCCACACTGGTGAGAAACAAAATATCCCCAACAGGCAAATGCAGATTAGAGCCCATGGTGTAAATGCACATAGATAGTCACCAGACACAGCGATGGATGAGGGCTAAGTCCAGAGGCACTGGAAAGTCGTTATTCCCTGAGTGGTAAGATGGGAGGAGGTCAAAGCACCCCTGGGATGCACATCCTGCTCTGTGTGACAAGGAGGTGCTTATTGACCAGCCTCTGGTACATGATGTGGTTGTCCCCAGCCCTGGATGCAGGCAGGGCATGGATCACCCAGCTGGAGAGGGCTGCCTCTGGGTCTTCCCACCCTCTGGTGCTGGATCACAATCCAGAGATATTTCCAGGACAGCTGGGCTGGCAGCACCCTGATGCCCGAGCACAGCCAGTCTGAATCTGCCGAAGGGCATTTCTACCTCCTTTCTCTCACCTGTTTTTTACCATTTTCTGTGCCCTGCAGGTGAGAAGCCCCACAAATGCCAGGTCTGTGGCAAAGCCTTCAGCCAGAGCTCCAACCTCATCACCCACAGCCGCAAACACACCGGGTTCAAACCCTTCAGCTGCGAGCTCTGTGCCAAGGGCTTCCAGCGCAAGGTGGATCTGCGGAGGCACCGCGAGACCCAGCACAGCCTCAAGTGAGGAAGGGCTCCAGGTCTTTGCTGGAGCTCCCACTGCAGACTGTCCCCAGCATCTCCATCCAGTGTGGGACTCATGGCACCCTGTGTTCCCCTGGGGACTGGCAAAGTCATGTCATTGGCTTTGGTGCTTGGCACCCCAGGGCCTTGCACGTCCCAAAGAAACCTCTGGGGGGGGGGTCTCACTTTTCAATTACAACAGGTACCAGCCCAGATCTGACATCACCTGCTCAAGTGCAAACCCAGAGAAATTCCTTCAAGGTCACTGTTACTCTGGATTGACACCATGTGCAGAATCCAGTTCTTTCAGGCTGCCCAGCAGTGAGGTGGGAACTCCTGGGCTGGTGGGAGCCACAATCTGTGCCAAGCCAGTGCTGTAACCGTGTCCTGCTCCGATGGTTGGGAAGATAAGGCCAGGCCATGCAAATAGATTGCGTTCAGTGAGCTGTGTTCAGCCTGGACAGGGCTTCTGCAGAGACTTGCCCAGGCCATAAATTCTGCCAACAGACACCTAAAGTCATTTCTTTCAGCAGAGCATTTACTGTGATCAAATGACAAGTTAACTGTGCTGTATTTTTAGCTTGGAGTGGGAGGAAAATACTGAAGAAACAGCTCCTATCCCTAGCTGATAACAGGGGTCTCTAAATACATTCCTCAGACACACCATGCTGCAAAGATCCCTGCCTTGGTGGCAAGCAAGCAAGCTCCAGGAAGAGCCATGCCACAACACCAGGCATAAGCCCCATGTCTTGGTACCATGGGAGAGTCTGGCTGCTTTTGGAATCTGGGCTCTGGTATGTCCCACAATATTTCAGTGCATACCAACTTAGAGCTGTCCTGGGCAGTCCTGTGTCACTGCATGGTCAGGATTGGCCCTTGGATGTCGATGCCAAGGGCCAGAATCCTGCTTTCCAGCCCCTCTCTTAAAGGAGGAAGTGGCTGAGCCTGTACATGCTGGCAGAGTATGCAAGTACCTTACAAATATTATACAAACAGAGCAGTGGCATTTCCTCCTTCTTCCAGGTTCAGGGGGTGAAGCAAAGCACTGGAACAAGTAAAGAACCAGTTCCCCTCCAAGCTCTGCTACATTCTCTCTCTCTAACCTTTGGCAAGTCACTGCACTGGGCTTTTGTTTCTCCCACCCCCCTCCTGGTGACGTGGGATCATTCTCTCAGGTTTGTAGAGTCCCTTGAGTTCTTAACAGGAAGGACAAAGTATTATTATAACACAAATAAGGCAAGTGCTTCCACTTAAGCAGGGCACTGTAGCAGCACACAGCCCACTCCATAACTACATCCCTGAACACACGGCCTTGGACAATGGCACCAGTGGGAATTACCCTGGGAATGGGCTGTGGCACAAACCATTTCACTCCAAAGGTTTATGAGGGAAGGCTGCCATCGTGGGCAAAGACAAATGGTCCAAGTGGAAAATTCATGTATTGCCAGGAGAGAAGAGATGTCTGTCCTGCCCTCAGTTACACTGCTGTAAATCCAAAGTTATTCTCCTAAGACCTAAAATGTACTTGCCCCTGTTTTATGCTGTGCCTAAGCTGTTAGTTATTAATATGCATTCTGGAAGCTCAAAACAGAGTCTGTACTCCTGGCTTTACTTGTACACTGTAAATATGTATTTATACTTATTCTAATGTATATTTTTATTGCTCTGTACCAGACAGTGACAACATGTAGAGGCCTGCTGGGATTTATCTGATAAATCTGTTCCCTCTCAGTAACTGGGCTAACAGAGTGTATTTCATGTTCAAAATATCCTTTTCAAGAACGGCTCATGCTTTGCTCTGGAGATGCAGGAGGTGGGGATGGGGTGGAAATGGAGAAGGGAAAGAGTATAGTATAATATACCATATGGTTTGAGGGGAAATAAAGATGGACATTCACATGCAGAACAGGGCTGCCATCAGGGAGACATTCATCCCTGGAGACAGATTGGTGCAGAGTCCCACACAGGCCAGAGTCAGCTCTCCAGAGCAGGAGGAGCACCCCAGATACACGGGAATGTGTGTCCAGATGGAACTGCCAAAGCCCCCATTAAATCTCTGCTGGCCTTTCCTGAGTCGTGCCAGAACCTGGTCAGGGCAGGGACTCTGGAGAAGGTGTATAACCTGTGATGGAACTGGTCCTGGCTGTGGCACAGGCACACACACACACACACACATGTGAACACTCACATATGCACAAGCCCTGCTCAAGGTAAAGTCATTTCAGCTTATTAAAACCACTGCCCAAAATGCCAATCGTGCTCGTTGTTCCCCCTGTCCTCCACAAACCTGCAAACAGAAATATTTAAAGAGTGTGTCAGCATCTGAACTGCTCAGGAGCAAATACCCTCCAGCCCCAAACCACACTGACACACCAGCACAGACTTCCCTGTGTGTGTCCTGGGGACAGCAGTGTGTCTGACTCATGTAAAGCTCCCCAGCTTTGGCCATTCTGGAGGCAAGTGCTGGCACACACCAAACCAGCACTATGGCAAGAGTGCCTGCAAGACCAGTCACAAAACCAAACCAGGCAGCTGGTTCTTTGGAGCCTGCTGAAGGAGGGCTGCTGCATCCCTCAGATTTCCATCCCTATCTTTGGTTTCCGTGGTACAGAGGGGCAATAACCTTCAGTGGACAGCTGGGAGCTTCTCTCCTGAGCTCTCCAGGAATTCCTGAAGAGCAGCTACACTGGAGGAGGCAGTGTCAGCCTCAGCCTGGTATTTGTGAGGAGCCTGGTGGGCACAACCCAGGAGATGCAGGAACTGCTTTAGATGGACAGGCAACAAGTGGAGAAGCAGACTGGGATGGCTGTAGGCTGTGCTGCTGCAGAGCTGCACTCAGGAAAACATGTCTGTGGGCAGAGCAGTGCAGGGGATCCAGGCTGACCCCCTCCCACAGGCACTGAGAGCATATCTCCAGAAGCACAGGCTGTGGATGGAGGCCAGCTGGCAAAGGCACCAGCCAGACAGTACAGCCAGAGCCAGGAAGTGACCTGAGAAGGGAGGAGGAGGAGAGGGAATTAACTTGAAGTGTTTTCCCAATAAGACACTACAGTTTTTTCCTCTTGAGTAAAAAGGTGCCACTTTCAGGTCACCAGGTAATGCTGCCTAAGCCCTGACCTTCCTTTAGGCCTATGGATGCCACCAGCCCAAAGGAAAAACAAGGCAGAGCCCCACAGCCCCTTGTTCACTGCAATCCTGATCAAGGAGAGCAATCTCCTGAGGAAGAGGACAGGGGGATCTAGTCTGACTCTGCTCTGGAGCAAACAATTCCTCTGCATGCCTCCCCAGGCTTTGAGCACCTGCGTTCCTGAAGCTCTGGAATGCAGGTGAAGGAGCGAGGAAGCAGATCTGGCATTACCCAAACCACACCACACCAGGCTGGGGAGAGCCTTTCACTCCCAACAGGGCATGGAGTGGGCAAAGGGCTGCCCTGATCCTTGGAGCTACTGAATCCACACAATGGCTATCCAGGGATGCTCAGCTCCTGTCAGGATCAGGCCATGGCTGTCACCAACTCCAAACACACATGGCCTTGGTCTCCAAACAAATAAATCCTCCTCAGTTCTGACCACTCTGATACAACCCCTTTCTCACCATCTCCCCTCGCATCAAAAACATTCTGGTCAGTCAATCAAGGAAACAGATAACAAAAAGCAAAATCTCAACTAATCTTTGTGGCTGAAGAAAGAGCTGATTGTTTTTGCCTCCCTCCCGAGCCTGTATCCTGCATTTCCCCAGTGCTCTTCACACCTTCTTCCCTTTATTGAAAATCCTGGTCTTTGGGCTGTTTTGTTTAGCAAATGAGGCACATGCAAAGCAGTAACCTCGGGTGTCTGTCAGGAGGAGAGAGGTGCCTCTGAGTCTTCCAGACAGCCTTCAGGCACTGAGAGCAGCAGCCCAGAAGATCTGTGATCAGGGGTGGATTTCAGTTTGGACACGGGATGCATCTTTCTCTTCCTAATGAAGACAGAGCCACAGGACACCTGCAGGAAGCAGAGCTGTGTTCCCAGCTGGCACAGCATTAGGCTGGAGCTTATTTTCAGGTTGTATCAACCTCACGGAGTGGAATCCTGGAGAAGGCAGAAACCTGAAGCTTTCATGTTGTGTTGGCAATGGCTAGGGAAGGCCTTAAAAGAACTGAGAGGAAGGACAGATTAAAATAAGACTCCAGTTGGGTATAGGTTCTGTTGGAGGAAGAAGGTTATTTGTTGAACCGAGTTGCTTCCCGCCTTAGACTTCACGAGAAAGTGTTTTCAGTAAAAAAAATATAAGAGCAGAGTCCCTTGTCCTCATGGCAGGTTGTTCCTGCAGTTGTAGGTGATGGAGACACACCAGCAGGTTAATTCCAGCCCATCAGCACAGCACACAAGGAGAAACCTGAAGGCATTAGGCAATCTCCCAGAAATAGCTGCACACACACATTTCCTTGTGCAGGGAAATGCTCCTGCCTGTCGTTAAGGGCCTAACCTGGGAATGGATGTGGAGCTCAACCTGCAAAGCTGCTACAGAAAAATAAAAAGAGTACATCATAAACCAATTTTTAACACTTATTCTGCTCACAAAACACAGAAGTTTTTGCCCTTTCCCCCCTGGAATAGCACATCCACACAGAGGAGACAACCCAGAGCAGCCACACCAAAATTCTCCAAGGATAGTTCAATCAGTCAGTGGCCTCTATGCTGGGTAAGACCTAAAAAAACACAGATCCTGACCCACCATCTTACAACTAACAGTCACCATGGACACACACTGGTCTTGAGGCTGCAGCTCCAAACTTGAGATGTGCCACATGTTTCCTGTATGACTTGGGGCAAGACACGAGCACTGGATTTCTGAAGTTGTTCAGCACACTATGGAGCCCTCAGAAAGCTTCACCCCATCTGTGAGAGGAGGATAATAATTCCCCCTCTCCCTTTCACTTCACTTGTTTATTTCAACAGTGAGATATCAGGAAGGAGACTGCCCCTCCTTATCTTCCACATCCAGCACCTCACACAATGGAGCTTGATCTGGGCTGGGACACCCGAGTGTGACTGTGATAACGAGTGATAGAAACTTAATTCAGCAAAGCACCCTAATTCCATGGCTTAGAAAACCTCCAACAGGCACAGTGAGACCTGCATTAAAACCACTCAACTCTAGGTGAGCAGAGGAACAGGGTGAGCAGCAACACGGAGAGGATAAACCAGACATGAATTCCACTGGTGAATAATATTCCAGGGAGAGAGACAGAGCTGGATATGGATGCTCCAAACATCCCTCTCAGTGCTCTCATTTTAAATGTGTTGCTTCAACACAAACACTTCTCAATCTGGTCCTGGGGCTGAGTTTGACCTGTTGGCCTGAGGGTGATCAGTGTTCATTGTACCAGACAGCAAGGCAGGCAGAGAGCAGAGAGTCCCCAGGAATGGGGAAATCTGAGGCTGGGGAGGAGCTGAGTTTTGCACTGAGCTCAGCTTTAGTCTGATAAGTTTATCAAGCACTGCCGGCTGCTAACTGTCAGCCGGGGAAGAGAGCCTGTTAGGGAGGAGGAACAGCTCCCAGGGCAAGATAGGACAGCCCAGGCCTTATCAGAGTGCCTGAGCCAAAGAGGGAACTGGAGAGTGAGCACTTTCCAACCACTTCATCTGAACAACAGACAGATTGGCAGGAAAGGCCTGTCAGCCCTTCGCTTCTGCCACCCAGGCACCGGCAGGGAGCCCCCATCCATGCAAATAACCTGGGAAGTGCAGCAGGAGAGCTGCAAATGTGACCATTGAGGCCCAGGAGAGTGAAGGGGGTAGGTTTTCTTAGTAGCATTGCCCAGGAGGAGGGTCAGATTTACAGCAAACAATCCAGATGCTTACTGAGCAAGCTGCTCCTCTTCACTGCCCAGAGCAGCAGTTCTCCTCCATGTTGCTATCCCTAGGTTTGGGAGCAGGATCTACCACTTGGGAATTGCACTGGTCACTAAGAGTTGGTGTACAGATAATTGCTCTGTTTCTGAAAAATAATAAAAACCCCTGAATGAATAGAAGAGGGTAAAACCTGACCGTTCCCATCTGAGCTGCAAGAGCATGGGCCAGCAAATACTACTTCATATCTACTCCTAGGGTGGCAATAATCAGATCAATAAAGCTGAAGATCATAGCAGGGAGACTCTCTTGTGTTTGGATGAGCTCCCTTGGACCTGTGCAAGCTCTCTGTCCATGTACCCCAGCCATGACAGGGAGGTAATAAGAGATTCCTGCAGGGCACATCCTCTGCTTGGTTTCCCTGATGAGGTTGGGCCTTGCAGGATAGAACCAGTGTCACATCAGCAGCTTCAACACACGTGTTTCTTCAGCCCATCAGACCTGTTATCAGGTCACTGCTCATCCAGACCATATGGACAGCCATCATCCTGCATCCCACTCACTTCTGCTTCAAACTGGTGTCTTGGATCCTGCCTGTTTTACTGAGAGCTGGCCCCAGTGCAAGCCCTGAGCCTGTGCTGGGAGGATGTGTTCATCCTTGGCTGCCTGGGTTCGAGTGCTGTCCCAGGCTCTCCATGGGATATGAAGCAGGAAATCTGCAGCAGCACCGTAGGTCAGGAGATCTCCAATGTGAACTAGTGACTCAAAAGCTCCCTTTTTGGTAAGTAACATGTCTAGGAAGTGATTTAGCTCCTCCTAAAGCACATACCTAAACCAGGACCAAAGTTCTGCCTTCTATGCACCTACTTCTCTCCCTGGAGAGAAAGGGAGCTGAGTATCCGAAGGCATCTGAAGTTACATGAGTCACACCCCTGTGGTTTCTGCACCACTCTCAGGCCAAGTTTCTCACAGCTGATTCTGTTCCAACCCATAATCTACTATTCTCCAGATCATGAGCAACCTCTAAGTCATCAAAGGCTCCTCAGCAAGCCCTAAGTACAACAACCACGTTCAGCACCAGCCAACACAACTCTGAGGTTCAAGGCTTCCTCATGAGGAATTAGGGGTTTAAAACCCTTCCCCATTGATTCTGCCTCTTGAATAATTTTAAAGCAACGGGACTTTATCTTACATCCCAGGCTCCTCTATATTAGGAGCTTTGGTGGGATTTTTGGCAGTGGTCAAGTCCTCTGGTTTCTCTTTATAAAATAGAAGTTATCTCTTGTCTCAGTTGAGGAAGGGGAAGTCAGAAATGACAGAGCATTCCTGCTCCTGAAAGGGCCCCATCCTGAGAGTGTGGACATGGTAAACCAGTGTGTCAGTCAGACATCCCTGCCACAGCTCCTTATTTAGATCCATCCTGGAATAGCTTGACTGTAAATCAATCAAGCTCAGTGGACATTCAGGTGTGGCAGCACCTGAAAAAGAGAGTCCAGAAACTGCAGCTGCCTTTTCTGATATTGTGGCATCATGGAAAAAGCTACATATGACACTCAGAACTCAAAGGAGGGTTGTGTTCCTGGCTTTGACCTGTCACTGATCTCAGCCAGTCACCGTCCCCTCCCTGTGTCTCAGACTTCCCCTTTTGCAAAGTGAGGATAAAAACATGGACATGCTTTGAGATGTACAGATCAGAGCAAGGTAGAATTCCTCCACATGTGCAGTAATTCACTGGAGTGGCATTGTGCAAATCCCACAGAAAACCCATAAAGCATCAAAGTGACATCGGGATCTGCCAGCCTGCATTGTTCACTTTAAAATATTTGCCCAAATTTGAGAGGGACAACTAGAAATGGAACTCAGGTCAGCTGGACTTTCAGTCTTGTTTGTTAACCACCTTTCCATCTTACCTCCTTGAAGTACAACTAAGTAGAACAACCCAAGTTAAAACTCTGATCTTAGGAAAAGTATCATGTGCTCTTGGTAAGATTTTATTTTTGAATTCTGGAAGATACTTATAAAAATATGCAAAAAACCTCATTTCCTAGTGTTTTAAATAAAGGCAGAGCTAACAGAGCAGAGGACCTAATCAAGAGTCAGCAAGACTAATGATACCTTGCATTTCAATAGTTCATACTGCCTAAAGATTTAAAAATGGCAAAGATGGAAACACCTTATCCCTGTTTTACTGCAAGGAAACTAAGAGAGAGAATGTAACTCAAGGTCATACAAAGAGAGAGCAAAAGACCTGAAAAATGAACCAAGGCATTTTAGGCCCCAGCCTAAATGTTAGGCAATGGGCAGAATTCAGACTTGTTGCAGCTGCATAAGTTGTACCAGTGGAATTTGGTGCATTCTCTCCAAAAAGATGCAAGTGAGCGTCTTGGAGCCCTGGCACACCTTTGCTCACACTATACCTTGTTACTGCAAGTCTGGAATAAGTCACTACATACCATTACCTGTCCCAAGACAAATTCCTATTTTCTTAGCTCTGTGTTCCCCCTGAAGTGGGCACAACATCCGACAGACAGCAGGATTTAGCCCCCAGCCTGAAAGTTCTCACAGCGTCATCCTTAGTTTTGCAGGAGATACAACACAAACCTTGTGGTTATCAGGAACAGTAATTTATATTTTTGAGGTGCCACCTCCTCACCCCCATTTCCTCAATCCCAAAGTCCCCAGCAATCTTAGCTCGGAAGGGAATGTGACTCAGGCCTTCAACTGAAGGGCTGTCAAGTGCAAACCCTGAGGGCTGGATGTGGCCGTGGTTTTATCACTGGCCACCAGCTGCCTCTACAGCTCCTGCCTCCTCCCCAATGATTCAGCAAATCTTCTTCAGGCAGAAAAACAAGCACCCAAGTGAACAAATCACAATGTCAGATTACAAAGATGAGCGGGGAAAAGCTGTGGCTCAGAGGAGGGAGATAAAAGCTGGTGAAGTTGCACAAGCCAAGGATGAAAATACCCAGGAAAGTCTTGGGTTGTTTTGTTTGTTTGTTTGTTTGTTTTTTCAGAGGAGGGCAATAATAATGTGAAAAAAAAGTTGTAATTTGGATCCTTTACACTGCGAAGCATGGCTAAGAATAAAAGAGGACACAATGGGGAAGGAAATGAAGCATATTCTGCCCTCTACTATCTGGGCATTGCACAGGTCTGATAGGAACTTTTACTGGTAATGATGAGAACTGAATAGTTCATTCTGGTTTATACTGGAACAAAGTTCCACTAAGCAAATTATTTTCAGAAGGAGTTTCTGCCCTCAGTAACCAAGACTTCCCATAGTCTGGAAGCCCATTTTCAGGCACTTTGAACATCACTGTTCCTGGAAAAAAAAAAAGATCTGCAAGTCATTTGGTATCCAAGACATAGCAGAGGGCAGTTAGAAATAATATTTTAATTTCAGACAGTTTTATCCACTGTGTCATACTTTTGTATTACAGCCCTTTTCCACAAATATTTTGTTCCCTGCTGTAGCCACTCTTGAGGTGAAACACAGCATCAGCTTAACAGCTCATGGTGCACAGTCTATAGAATAGAAAGCGAAGAAGAAAAGTCAGCCAGACCTTAGATAGGAGATGTAATATTCCACTAATGGCATTCCACTCCACTCTTATCACCATGTTCCAATATTTAAAGGGTGGCTACAGAAAACATGGAGATTCCGTTTTTACATGGAGTCACATGGAAAAGAGGAGGGGCAATGGGTACAAGTTGCTCCTGGGGAGA